CACAGCATTTGGTGTGAAGGGGAGGCCTGTTCCTGTGCCATGAGATTGCCTTGTAGTGCTCGTTCAGTAGCAGCGTTACTGATGTACAGAGCCGCAGTTTGGTGAAGGAGGCTCCGGAAGCAAGCCCGCTGCTTTTTTGCCTGCTCCGAAAGGAGGAAGGCTGTTGACAGCAAGGTGGGGAGGTCTGTGCGTGGCGGTTGGTGAGCACAGGCGCTTTGCTGGAATGGGGCTGCAGCCGAGGGGTGCTGCTGCCTGGGGGCGGGAGTCGGGGTTTGTTGGATCGCTGATGAAGCAATTGGGACTCGGCTGACCTCTCCGTGTGGTTCCTGATGCTTCTCGAGACCACTTCTTCCTCCGAGGAACCAGGTTGTCATGTCGTATCCAGATGTCAGGGCATCGCTTCCTTGGACAGCCAATTTGTCTTAGCGTTGTCTTCTGGATTTCTTTCAAAACTGGGTTCAGTGGTGGACCAGATTTCATAGTAATCAAATCTCGTTGACATTAGCGCTCATCTGTGAAGAAGTTCTTTCTCTGTGGACCTCCTTGTTTCTAGTGTTTGCCCCATCCGACGTGTCTGTGTTCGTTAGAGGTCAGTGGTAGTTAATGGGAATAGATCCTGGTGAGGTGGTACATCATCTATAGCGTTTAATCACCATTTCAGTGTATTGCCTGCCTTCTGGAATACTAAGCTGTCGGAAGTCATGACTTTGGCGTTAAGTTTTGCTGTTTCAGAGGTATTTGTTCTTCTTTCAAAGGGAAATGAAGGAGCTCCGTGACATTTGTGCATACCATTTAAGAAAATGAGGTGAAGGGGTGTTGCCATTTAATATTATAGACATGGGGAAATGAGAAGAGGACCTTTTGGGTGCAGTCTTTGAAAACTGAAGAATAAACTAGCCTGTGTTGCAAACAGATAGATACAAGGATCAGTGGAGATAAAGGAACTATGTGAATGAGAGAAAGGGCCTCAAAACCGGTGACTGTATACAGTTTGAGCGTGTTTTTATCCAGAATTGTTAAGACTGATGAAGGAGAGATGGCTAGGGGTGCGACTTCAATATCTGTAATGAATAATTTCTTCCCGTTACCTGCCCTCTGATAGCAGATAGAGAAGCCAATATTATTTTTTTCTGCTTTTGGTAGTAACTGGGGTGAAGTGTATTTGGGAAGGAGATGGAGGCAGCCTGTTGCTATTGCCTGTCATTGAACAGGGAGGTTGGGATGGCAATTTGCAATCCAAGACATGTTTGAAGGACAGCTTCCTTCAGACCTTTAAGAGAGGAGTGAAAATAATAGCACTCTGTTAGGTGTGCAATTAAACCAGCCAGGTATGAAACAACAGGAGTGCACTTTGCTTTCATGTTTATCCCACTTTTTGCCCTTTACCACTCTTTTTGTCTTGATCGTCTGTGTCGCCTCTGTAGTAATCAGCTATCGTGGTGGTGTTTGAAGACAAGCACGCTTCTCCACCTTGGAAAGGGACAGATGGTCGACGCTGAGGAGTGCTGTGTATGCTTACTGGACTGTAGCTCAGAAAGAAACAGGAATTGCCAAATTGTTGTGGTTTCTGGCAGAGGATCATGAACTTGCGTTGAAGGCTCTGACCACGTTGGAGATGATGGCGTTTTCAGTTACACCAGCTCTAGCTTCTGCACCAAGAATTCAGGCTACCAGCATGGGAGCACGGCTTCAGATGTGGATGTAAATCACATATTTGTGCTGCTGTAATTGATTTAACAAGATGATAACATGTTTTTCTACTCAAGAAAAATGCTTGAACAAGACATCTGTGAAAATGTTCTTGCATCTAATGTGAACAAATAAAATGTATGATTCTAGCATTTTTAAAACTGTTTGCTGGAGTAAGCATGGCTGTGTAGCGTGCCAAAGTATCACAAAGAAGGGCAAGAGAGGGGCTGAGAAGTGGAGTTTGTTCCTGTTGGGAAGCTGCGTGTGTGCTGTGCAGGGCTTTCACCGGCTGTTGGTGCGACTGAAGCTGTGAGGGGAGCTCAGCTTGGCAGCGGGGAGCTGGTGGGGCTGGGATACAGCCAAAACCAAATACATATGTCTCTTAATATCCTTTTGATTTATGCTAGGAACGCAATAATTACATCTTTCTAGCAGCTTTATTTTGAGGTTCCCACAGCACAACATCCACCTTGGGGAGTTCATTTGCTTTGGCGAAGCTGGGGGCCACGCACTGAGCAGCCCCCGTTTCCCCACTAGCGCCTTCCACAGCACTGCAGGCCCTGGGTCAGCGCCGCTGCGGCTGCGGCTGTGGTTTGCTGGGACATTGCCTTAGCAGTGAGAGGAATGAACATCACCTACTCAGTCTCTCTGTGTAGCTTCTCCATTCCTCAGATGTCTCATTGAAATAATATTTTGCTGCTGTTCAGCTTTTGTGGCTTAGCATGCCTGGGGGTTGCAGCACTTTCCATGAGTTCAGCTTGAAATGCTTCACGGAAGAATTTGAGCTTGTTCTGTCTCACATGAGGCAGCTGAGGTGTCGTAGCTGGCAGATCAGTGATGAAGTCGAGAGTGAAGGGAAGTCTTTGGTGTTGCCCGGTGCTGTAGTGTCTGGAAGGTGGAGTCCTGTTTTCACTCTCTGTGTTCATGGTTGATGTGATAAGCGTCACCGCAGAAGGTGCCAAGACTGAGGCATAACTGAAAATAACTTTGAGCTGAGATATAGTAATAAGAGGATACCTTATTTTTAAACTGTGATTCCAAGTGGCTGGCCACTGAGGATTTGCAAACTACATAAATATGTATTAGATGATTTAACAAGGTGTTACTAATCTTTTGCAAAGTAGTGTTGTGGTAGAATAGTAGAAGAATTCAGGCTGGAGGAGACTTCTGGAGGTTATCGGTGGTGCTTTCCCTAAAACTACGTGTGATATTCTTGGATGAATTCTGTTGGATCTTGTATTAGAATGGAAATAAAGCATAATCACAACAAAGTCTTGACTTGGTTCTGCTGGCAGTAGTGGCAGGAGTGTCAGAAGTCAGGCTGGGGGTCGGTGAGCAGGGTGTGACTGCTTACAGCACTGGTCACTGGCAGAGCGGTGCATTAGCATCTAAACCAGTTGTTCGGTTTTTGTCCTATAAATCACCCACCAGGTATTACTGGGTGATCCAAGGGCTGGAGCACCCCTCCTCTGAGGAGAGGCTGGGAGAGCTGGGGCTGTTCAGCCTGGAGAAGAGAAGGCTCCAGGGAGACCTTGGAGCAGCTGCCAGTACCTGAAAGTGGCCTACAAGAAAGCTGGAGAGGGACTTTTTACAAGGGGCATGGACGGATAGGACAAGGGGGGATGGCTTCAAGCTGAAAGAGAGTAGGTTTAGACTGGATAGAAGGAAGAAACTCTTTACTCTTAGGGTGGGGAAACACTGGAACAGGTTCCCTAGAGAAGTAGGCATGTTTCCATCCTCCCTGGCAGTGCCCAAGGCCAGGCTGGATGGGGCTGGGAGCACCCTGGGCTGGTGGAAGATGTCCCTGCCCATGGCAGGGGGGTTGGAACCAGATGATCTATAAGGTCCCTTCCAACCCAAACCATTTTATGATTCCAGGATTCCCTTGGCCTAGAGGAGGCTGCGTCCAAATCACCTGCTATGTCTTAGGTGGTGACACGACTAAACATTGCGTGTCAGTCTTCAGCAGAGAGCCTGGGAAGGGCTGCGGTGAACAGTGTGTGGATGGCTCATTTGTGGTTTATAAACTATTACCCCTGCTCTAGCAGAAAGGTGTATCGGATCTGTTGGGTTGCAGGGTTATGTAAACATTGAGGAGGAGGCGTGTAGTATTGTTTGTGTGCCATCATACGTGTTTGTGGCTGTTGTAGCAAGTGCTGCTTTGATACAGGTATGTTATCCAAGGAGAGCAACAATTTAACCTGAATCCTAGCACGTGGCTGAGCTTCTGTGCTTTGTCCTCAAGTCCATAGTTGGGTTTTTGCGTTGCTTTTGCACGTGTGCTCAGTGGCTGTGTCTGTAGGGGCTTGCCTGGGTGAGGTTTGGAAATGAAAATCAGAAGTAGTGTTTTCTTGCATTTTCAACATACCCGACTTATGCAGCTAACAGTTCTAAGTTGCTGGGGTTTTTTTCTGTTCTAATTGAATCAGTTTTCATCGAATCGTGATCTGAAGCAGAAACAGACAACGGCACAGCTCCCCAAGTAAATGTATAGTTGCAAGTCCTCTGGGTGAGGGAGGGCAGTGTCACACCTCCTGGGGCCGTCCCCTTGCGCCTGAGCTCTACCCTGCGTCTCTGCCCGCTGTTGCCCTGCCTTAGGTGGCAAGTCTCGGGGACCCTAGCGTGGCCATGGAGCTGCGTGGCTGCCCTGCCACACACCAGCAGCCCCTCCACAACGAGGGAAAGGGCCATCCCCCGTCAGGGGTTTTCTTGAGGTGTTTTGCACCCTGGTTTGTGCTTCTGGATTTCCACTTTGAGCCATTGCTGTGGGTATAGTAACTAAAACAGGGAACTGATTTTAAGGCATTGCTTGTTCTCCTTTCTTCATCTCCTGCCCCCATTTCAAATGGTGTTATTTCATTTGATTTGCTTTTTTTTTATACTGTTACTTTTTTCATATCGATATAACTTGAATATAAATCTGCCTGTTTTATACGAGTCTTTACTTGATTTTCACCTGAAAAGAAATGATGCTGATGACTCCCTTGCTTGAAACCATGCAGTTCACCGTGAAATATTAGTCTGTGCAATGCACTTAGCAAAGGCAGTTGTATTAGACTTTGTGTGTTTTAAAAGTAATTTCTAGTTTTGCCTTTGTTTGCGCATGTAAATCTGACTGTAAGCAGTGTAGCTACTGGGAGTAGTAAAGGTAAGTCATCCTTTGGAGCTCAATAACCTTGTTATGTGCTGTAATATGGAATGTAGCTCTGAGTCTGTATCAGACAAATTGCTATAAACTATGGTTGTCGTTAAAAAAACCCAATCAAATACAGGCGTTTCCTCATGGATTTTTCTTACCTATCTATAACTAGGTGCGTTCCATGGATGAACTGAACCATGATTTTCAAGCGCTTGCTCTGGAAGGACGGGCTATGGGAGAGGTAAGTGAAAGGCCTGTAGAAAAAAAATCTGTGTGTTTTGGGGGGAGGCGAAAATAAATATCAGTTTTTGAGGCTACTGGAATGATTCTGAAGTTGAGAGGTCTTCGTTATGACTGTGAAGCTTGTGTGTGTGTGTGCGTGTGCTTTAACAGAATAAAAACCTGTCAGGCTGGAATACATCTTAGTAGGAGGAACAGCTAAGCCCTCCACCTGTTGTATCATCAAACAGCAAAATGGTGGTTGTAAAAGAACAGTTAGAAATATGTCTTGTGACAAGTGTCAGAATACTTGTAGCGTGTTTATTTTGGGATCCAGTGATCTCAGACCCCACAATGTTGTGGGTTTAGTTGTCTGCCGTTGTCTGCTGCCCTGTTTCCACTCCTGGCCACCTTTTGGCTCTTGTCACAAAGCACAGGACTGTGTTTAACGTTTAAAGTAGCTGGGCAACGTAATCAAGGGCTGCAGGAGCGAGAGGTGCTTCGGACAGGTCAAAGGACTGAGCAGGGAGCTGTCAGATAATGGGCCCTTCAGTTCTAACTCTGTGGACACCCAGTGAGAGTTATTTTAATCTCACAGCGCAGTGAAGAGGTGGCAGATTTGGGGGAGATGGCCATTGGTTTTCTCGGAGAAGAGAGAATTTACCTATTTTTAGGGTGACTTGAAAGAATAACAAATTACTGTAGTTGGCTGTGTTAGGTTCCTGAAAGTTGTCTGTAAATGCTCCTGTTCCCTGCCCTGTTCACTTTTGCTTTGCAGTCAGTCCCTTTAGAGGCTCGTGGAAGAACAGAGATGAAAAAATCGCGTCTTGTAGGAGGGTATTAATGAACAGCAGGACAGCTTGGTGTAGCTCTGTTGTTCTGGAGAGGCTTCCATTTTGTGTTCCTGTCTGTCAAGTTCAGGCGAGTTTATTGTCTTCACGTTTAGTCCATCCTATCTCTGTTACCTAGTTTATGAGCTGGGTGGAGGGCAAATCCGTAGAACCCCAAAATTACTGTTTAGAGAAGACAGCAAACCAGGACTGTTACCTGGTAGGATTCATAAGAAGATGCCTTCTCTCAGGTGAAAGACCTCAGGGTGACTGCAGCTTAGCTTCTCTCCTCTCCTTCCTTCTCTGGAAGATTGTAATACTGAGTTGCATTTTAATTTGACAATACTTGATAGGAAAATCTCTGTTTCTCTAGGTTATATTAGCCTATATTGATTGAGACTATTGACTAAGAGTAGATGAAAGTGGTTTACAAAGGACAAGACATGACATTAAAAATCCATCTAAAGCCGCTGAATAACAGCTGATGTGCCTCCATATGAAGCATGCCAGTGGAATGACGGGGGTGTGAATGTTCTGTGAATATTATTTTTTTAACACCCCACTTGGGCAAGACATTCATTTTCAGATATAGAGCATACAGGCTCGTTGAAAGGCTGTTAAGAGTAAGTACAGCACTTGTACTTAACGTGGCGTTAAATCATGTTAGCTTGAATGCCTGAAGGCATTCCTAGATATGCTGATTTTGACCAACTCTTAGTTTATTTGGTCATTTCTTGAGAGAAGTGAATTTGGGTTTGGTTTTTTGGAGGATGTGAGGTTTGCCTTCCAACGATGACTCGCCTTCCCTCCCCTCCTTCTTCTTGTAACTGTGATGCAGAGCGTTTTGGGGATGGCATCCCTTTGTCACCGGGCTTCTCCGCCTGCCCCGGTGTGCGTGCTTTTCCAGGAAAGGTGACATCTCACCCTTCTCTTAAGCTAAGACACTATTTCTTGTTTCTCTTCTCCCTCAGTCCCACAGTTTCCTTTCTTTATCCATTGAATTTTCTCTGTGCTTCCTATTTCAACATACATCCAGCTGGCCGGTTTAAGGAGCTGTGTAAACCAAGATCCCCGCAGGATATGCGTATTGGCTTTCAAGACCGGGTTCTTCAACTCTGGGCTTTGATTTTGTGCAGCGTGCCCTGTCTGTTGTTTAGGTGGCTTAGCAAGGCAGTGATGGCTTCCTCTCCTCCTCCAGCTCCTGGAATGTGAAGGAAACTCGTGGAGAAAGTGTACTAAGAAAAAAATTAAGTTTGAAATAAATGAGAAAAAGAGCAAATTTGATTTGTATTTCTTGATTTTGTGTCTTCAGGTGTCAATAAGCTCATATATGGAGTTGATAGTGAAAAACCTGGCGGAGAACGATGAGGAGAAGAGTGTTTACGCATTTAGTGTATATTTTTATCTTCTGGTTTTCTGGCTTCTTAGTAAGCAACACCATCATAATTGTAGTGATTTAAGGAGATAGTGCCTCTGAAGCGTCAGAGCTTTTTTTTGAAGGGCACTGTCAAACAATTAAATGTCTTATCTAGATTTTGAGAGCAGGATAGATAACTTTTGGTGATGAACAGATATCCTAATCTGGGGAAATTAAGAACAGTTTAAAAAAACCCTGTGGCTTTCATCTGCACTGTGGCTGTTTCCGTCTTTAAAATCTCCCCTTCCCCCATGCAGCCAGCCTCATGCCCCCCTGAATTTCTGTGCGAGTGGAAGTGCAATACTGTCTCCAGTGTGAGACTGAAAAGAAAAGCCACAGAATCCCCGTTGCTCCGCTCTAAAATGGAAAAGATTTGGGCCAGTGATAGTGAGCACGGTCGATAATGTTGAAAGCAGCCTTCTAAAAGGGGTATCTGTTTCCCTCCTTTTTTTAGCCCTTTGTCCAAGTCGTTAGCTGTAACGAAGGAAGGCATCTTGGAGCCTTGCTACAAGCCACAGAAGTGTAATGAAATCTTTGCCAGTTTTGTACCAAGCTCCCCTTGTCAGCGGACGTTGAACTGGGAAGTAATAAAAAGCCATGGTGTATAGCAACCGGTGAAGGAAGTCGCCCGTCGGGGCCGGTCGGCGTTGCTGCTTTAGCCCGTAGGCAGAAGATGTGTCCGTGGAGCTGGTGCTCTCTGCTGAGGGCTGTGGTCGCACAGCAGTGCTGCTTACCTGAGGCTCAACGTCAGCTGTGCAACTGCTCTTTCTTTTCCGGCCTTCAAGACAGGGGAGCGGGATATCTGCTTTTCTTTGCTTAAATCCCATTTATCTGTAGCTTTGCAGCACTGAATATTCGTGCAGTGTCTTTTTGGGGATAGCGGCCAGTGCAGGGGGGCTGCGAGGTGGTGGTTGTCTTTGTCGTCAGTGCGTTACGTGCATTTCGAACCGCGGCAGCATGCGAGATTTGGTGGCAGGTTATGCTGCGAGATAAGCCTGCGTCTAGAATAAAAGAGCAGCTGGGTGAGTAACTTAATCCAGGAGGGTGGGAGGAGGATGGGACCAGAAAGACATTAGGCAACTGGCAGGTATTTAACTTCAAAAATGAAAGGAATTGGACTAAAAATTTTGAAGTATGAATACCAGGGCGAACAGTGAATCTCACCCTACACTTCAAAAGAAATGCTGAGAAGAGCTATTTGCCACTTCATCTGACGAGCATTTAATTGTTGCTCTCTGCTGCTGTGCCCGGCAGGTTTTAGTGCTGGAGCCTAGGGGAGGTCTGACTCTGGCCAAACAGCGAAACTCCTGCAGCCCCCGTGGTTCGCTGTGGCAGAGCCCTTCAACAGCGAGGGCTGGAGGGCTGGGTGGCTCACCACGTCCGTGTTTGTGTCCCCTTGAGGCAGTTGGCTGTGTCCTAGATAAGCCTCTGCCTCTCCAGTGATCAGCGCTTTTTTTTAAGCAGGGTGGTTGTGGCACTGGGCCTAGACCTTCTTGTATCTGGTTTAGAGAAAAAAAAAGGGGGGGGGGGGGCAAAAAAAACCCCCCCAACAAAAAAAAAAACAAAAAAAACCCCAAACAAAAAAACCCCTAAACCCCTAAAAAAACCCTCACGTGACTCTGCTTTCCCTGCTAATGATGCCTTTACTCTGTTCTCATAAGTTTATGATTCATTGGCAGCTGGGCTGGGGAGTATTGACAGTTTTGAATAATGTTTCTGTTCAGTTGAGGGGTTTTTTTTCCCTTCAGTTTATCTAGTGCTAGCAGCATCAGAAACGGGCGGGCTGAAGCCACGTTTCTGCAGCGGGATGATCCGCGCCGGGATGGCTCCGCGCCGGGGCTGCGAGCACCAGCACCGGGGCAGGAGCTGCCGGGGACGGGTGGGCGGCTGCTTGCAGCG